AGTTTTAGACATGGTAACAGGTACAGTCTATTTTTCAACATATCTGAGACAAAGTACTGAAGTAAAGGAAATGATTACACATGCATTGTACAACTTAAATGAGTTATTGAAATAAGAACTTGTTGGTGCAAAGATAGAATAAATGATGAAATAGAAATATTACTAATAAGAGAATGACGGCTACAAAACATGATATTTGTTACAATGATTGTCACCCTATTTATAAGCTAAAACTAGGGTTACTAGACTAAAGAAAATACTAAAATACCCTCTAACAAACTTGGGGGCTAAGAAAATAGTACAACTAAATAAATATGAATTATTAATAATATTCTAATACCATCCCTTAATTCATATTCCATCAAAACTTGTGACACCAATTCCATCCCTTAATCTGAGAAATTGATCAGTCTTGATAGCTTTCGTCAGAACATCTGCCAACTGCTTCTGAGTGCTGCAGTGTACAACTTCTAACACTCCACTCTGAACTTGATGTCTCAGAAAATGATACTTGGTCTCAATATGCTTGCTTCTCCCATGCAGCACTGGGTTTCTGGCAAGGTTGATTGCAGACTTGTTGTCAATCATCAACTTCAGAGGTTTGTCTACCTTAATCTTCAGATCCTGCAACAGATTCAGAATCCACACAGCTTGGCATGCAGTAACAGCACCTGCAATGTATTCAGCTTCACAGGTTGACAACGCCACAACAGGTTGCTTCTTGGAACACCAAGAAATGGGACCTCCCAGAAATTTGAACAAGTACCCAGATGTACTTCTTCTGTCAACTCTGTCTCCACACCAGTCAGAGTCTGAATAACTCAGAAGTTCTGACTCATTATTTCCTCCAGAGGGAAATAACACTCCATACTTCAGAGTTCCTTTGATATACCTCAGAATCCTGACAGCAGCTTGGTAATGGGACCACTTAGGTTTACTCATGAACCTACTAACCATCCCAACTGAGTAGCAAATATCAGGTCTGGTATTGCACAGATACCTCAGAGAACCAACCAACTGTTTGAAGGTTGTAGCATCCACATCCTTTCCTTCAGAGTCTGAATCCAGTTTCTGATTTGTATCAGAAGGTGTGACAGCCATCTTACAATTCTTCAGATCAAATCTCTTCAGAAGTTCTAATTCATACTTGAGCTGATGCAAAATGATACCTTTCTCAGAATATCTGAACTCCATCCCTAGAAAGTATGTCATTTTGCCTAGATCAATCATTTCAAATTCATTCATTAGAACCTTCTTGAACTTGGCTATCTCCTGTTCAGAACTTCCAGTCAATAGTATATCATCAACATATAAACATACCAGAGTCATATTGCCTTCAGAAGTATGCTGAACATAGACACCGTACTCCATCTCACATTTCTGAAAGCCTTGCTTCTTGAAAAATGAATCAATCTTCTGATTCCAAGCTCTGGGCGCTTGTTTCAGTCCATATAGAGCTTTGTATAATCTGTACACCATCCCTTCCTGATTCTTTTCCTCAAATCCAGGAGGTTGTGACACGTAAACTTCTTCTTCTAATGGACCATTCAGAAATGCAGATTTTACATCTAAATGCATCAGAGGCCAATTCCTGTTAGCAGCTATTGCAATCACCATTCTGATTGTTTCATGTCTTGCTACAGGTGCAAACACTTCAGAATAATCCAGCCCAGGTTTCTGTAGAAATCCTCTGGCTACCAACCTTGCTTTATGTTTGCCAATTGAACCATCTGGCTTTAACTTCTGCTTGAAAACCCATCTGACGCTGATGGCTTTCTTGTCTTTTGGAAGTTCTGTCAGCTTCCAAGTCTTGTTTCTCTCTATGGCATCAAGTTCTTCTTTCATGCCCTTCAGCCAAAGCTTCTGCTTAAGAGTCTCCTCTGTACTTATAGGTTCAGAGTCTACTAGCATGGCACACTGAATAACTTCTCCTTCAGAGTCTACTTCAGTGTCTTGCAGCATGTCAAATTCTGCAAATCTTCTGGGAACGCTTCTGATTCTTTGTGGTCTCTGAACTTGTTCAGAGTCTTGAGCTTCAGAGTTTCTAGCTTCAGATGATTGACCTCCAGAGCTTTGACCATCTTCAGAGTCTGGCATATTTCCAGAGTCTTGAACTTCAGAATTTCTAGCTTCAGAGGCTTGACTTCCTCCAGAGCCTTGGCCATCTTCAGAGTCTGAATTTCCACCAGAATCTGGATTACCATCAGAGTCTGGATCATCAGAGTCACCTTCATCTTCTGAGTCTTCTCCAGAGTCAGAATCACTATCAGAGTCAAAATCAACGTCAGAGTTTACTTCAACTTCAGAAATTCTTAACTCTGGCCTTTCTTCAGAGGTTCTAACATCAGAATCAGATTGAGACTTATCCCAATTCCAAACTTCTGATTCCTTCACAATCACATCTCTGCTGAATTCAATTTTATTGGTTTATGGACAATAGAGCTTGTATGCACCTGTACTGTGGTACCCTATCAGAATCATCACTTTGCTTCTATCATCCAGCTTCTGTCTTCTGGCTTCTGGAACATGTTTATAGCAAACAGAACCAAATACCTTCAGATGACTAACACTTTGCTTGTCTCCAGTCCACTTCTGCATAGGAACTATTTCCTTCAACTTCTTCGTAGGACATCTGTTGAGTACATACGTTGCAGTGGCAACAGCTTCTCCCCAGAGCTTCTGAGGAAGCTTCTTCTCCTTTAGCATGCTTCTCACCATATCAAGCAGAGTGCGGTTTCTTCTTTCAGCAAGACCATTGTGTTGAGGGTTATAAGGAGCAGTAACCTCATGCTCAATTCCATTCTCCTCACAGAACTTCTGGAACTCTTTGGAGTTATACTCACCTCCATCATCAGTTCTAAGAATCTTCAACTTCTGACCACTCTGATTCTCAGCCTTCATTCTGAACTTCTTGAATTCATCAAACACCTCGTGTTTGAACTTAATAAGGGATACCCATGTCATTCTTGTGAATTCATCAACAAACAACACAAAGTATTTATTCCCTCCAATTGATGCTACTGGAAATGGACCACACACATCAGAGTGTACAACTCCCAAGGCATGTTTTGCTCTTGGAGCAACTTCTGATGCAAATGGCAATCTTGGTTGTTTTCCTTCCATGCAAACTTTGCATGACTTTTCAGGCTTCTTAATTGCAGGAATTCCATGTACCAATTTCTTTGAATTCAGATGTTGTAAGCTTCTGAAATTCAAATGACCAAATCTTCTGTGCCACAGCTCACTCTCCTTCTCAGTACTTGTTGCACTAAGACACTCTGAGTCTGCAGTTCTGACATTCACCTTGAATGTTCTATTCCTTCCCTGTTCTGACTCCATAATCAACTTCTGATTACAGTCATACAGCTTCAGAAGATTGTCCTTCATGGTAACTGAGAAACCTTTCTCAATTAATTGCCCCACACTCATCAGATTGCTTCTGATGCCAGGTACATACCACACATTCTGAATCAATGCTATTTTCCCATTGTTCAGAGTCACTCTGACATTTCCCATACCTTCTGCATTAAGATATTTGTCATCAGCACATCTGATCTTTGTTCTCTTTTCAGAGTCAAAGTCAACCAGCCATTTCTTGTTTCCAGTAAGATGATTTGAACAGCCAGTGTCCATATACCACCAGTCTGTCAGATCCACATTATCAGATTCAGAGGCCATCAACAGCACAGATTCGTCATCAGAGCCTCTGGCTATATTTGCTTCTTCTGATTTCTTCTCCTTGTTTGACCAACAATCTCTAGCAAAATGGCCAAACTTCTTACAACAGTAACATTGTATTTTTCTTTTGTCATACTTCTCTTTTCCCCTCTGAGCATTCTTTTGTCTATCAGAGGTTGAGCTTTCTGACTTCTGACCACCATCAGATCTTCTCCTGGCTTCTGACTGCTTCTGATACCTCCTATCAGAAGTTGCTTTCAGAGCCTGCTGTTCTACTTCCTTTTCAGAGTTTCTCTCAGTCAGACGCAACTCTTGTGCTTCTAGACTGCTCTGCAGCTCTTCAATTCTCATTGTGCTCAGATCTTTGGAATGTTCTATTGCTACCACAATGTAATCAAATTGAGGAGTAAGGGATCTCAATACTTTCTCCATGATTGTTTCTTCAGAAAGAGTTTCTCCACATGCCTTCATCTCATTAGTGATCAGAATCACTCTGGAGATGTATTCAGAAACTTTCTCATTATTCTTCATGTTGAGATTCTCATATTGCTTTCTCAAGGACTGAAGCTTCACCTTCTTCACTGATGCGTCACCACCATAACATCTCACCAGAGTGTCCCATGCAGCCTTTGCTGTTGTAGAGTCTGCAATCTTCTCAAACACGTTTACATCCACACATTGATGAATGAAGAACAATGCTTTCTGATCCTTCTTCCTTACTTCCTTCTGCGCGTTTTTCTGTTCATCAGTTGCATCTGCTGCTACTGGAACATAACCATCAGTGACAAGATCCAGAACATCTTGAGCACCAAACAGTACACGCATTTGGATCATCCAACGATTCCAGTTTTTACCATCAAATACTGGAAGTTTGGTGTTCATGTTGCCGTTTCCGTTCATCTTCTACTTTGCACAATACACTCAGAGTTTTCTCACACAGTGTTTCCCAACCCACAGAATTAAAAAATTCTGATCAGATTTTGTTCAAGATTCAACAAGAATCTGAGAAACAAAATCAAACACACAAGACCTCACGTTCACTCGTGTTTCCCGTGTTTCCCAATGAATCTGAACCGGAGCTCTAGATACCAATTGTTGGTGCAAAGATAGAATAAATGATGAAATAGAAATATTACTAATAAGAGAATGACGGCTACAAAACATGATATTTGTTACAATGATTGTCACCCTATTTATAAGCTAAAACTAGGGTTACTAGACTAAAGAAAATACTAAAATACCCTCTAACAAACTTGGGGACTAAGAAAATAGTACAACTAAATAAATATGAATTATTAATAATATTCTAATAGAACTTACCTTTAACGAATTGAAGCCAAGCTTTTAACATAATTCTTAACCGAGAACCAAGATATATTATTGGTAATTCTAGTTTTCACGGAATTGTTATCTCTTATATTATAGAGAATTGCTTGGTCTTCTAAGCTGGTTGCCAATATCAGTGTTTCACCATTTTCCGAAAGATACAATGGCACCAATGGAATCAAATAAAATCTGCGACCCATATAGTAAGGATCGATATCAAGACTTTCATAGCTAATTTTAAGGAATTGAGTCCAAGATTCTTCAACTCCGAATTCCATCATTTTCCATATTATAAAATGAGTATGTTTGAAATGATAAGAAAAGCAAAGGACATTCATCAATACACCGATAATTGGGTCAACATAAGGCTTCTCATCAAAACTAGGAGGTAGATGTATCTGCCTGTATTTCTCTGTTCCGAGATCAAGAGAAATAATTACTTCGACATAAGTAACATTAAAATCATAAATAGCCAACCAATTAAGAGTGCCATTCAAGTACACACTTTCGTTCACTTGATGGCGAAATCTGATCATTTGAAAAGGAACTACAGGAAAATTTTGAATGTCTCTCCAAACATTATCACGCAGACTGAAAATTTTTGCTTCAACTACCATTAATTTGTCACTGTGAAATTTTAACATCACTACCTTATAATTGTTGGTTGAATTATCATAACCGAATGAGAACTTGAAAGATGTAGGGTCTTTAATCTTACCACTAAAAAGATCAAAATTAAACCCTAGTTGTTTAGACATTGCTCTTGTGGATGGGTTCCAAAAACTCAACCAAAAGAATGACTCTATATCTGCATAACTGAGGATAGAGATCAATCCATTGCATGATCCAATCACATGGTGGACAAGATCCAATTGGGAGAAATAGTTGTTGACAACGTAGCAAGGGTCATCGGCAAGGGTGACCGGTGTGTTCTCAAGTAAATTTCTTACCGGGAAAGGTACGAGTCTGAAAGTGTTTGGATCGGCAGTGACAAGTGCGAGGTGAGGCTCTTGTGGAGATCGGTGAAAGTGCAATTTCACAAAGAAAGGATCAGTATAGAGGGAGTTACAGAACTTACTGACGCATCTCATTCGCATTATAGATTTGACAGCAAGTAAGGAGAGTACTTCGATGATGAGATCGTTGGGGAAAGCTATCGGCGATGGAGAGGCATTGGGTGGACGCCGCCGTGACTGAGATGGATGAAGATTCATTTTAATATCTACGTAACTGCAGCTGTTGGAGCTACTACTGTTATATTTGAGTATATGAGATATCTATAATTACATGTCAAATGAATCTATGCTTCATTACTACTCATACTCATTTGCAAGACTAAATTTTGACTTAACATTTACACGAAATTCATTGAATATATTTGGTCTATTATATGTATCAAATACATTAATTATTCAAATAATAGAAAAAACAAAATTTCTATTATAAATAAGACTTTGATAAAATAAAGATATTCACTTAATATCAATGTACAAATATTTTAGACTAGATGCATTTTCTTTTTAATATATATATATATATATATATATATATATATATATATATATATATATATATATATATATATATATATATATATATATATATATATATATATATATATATATATATATATATATATATATATATATATATATATATATATATATATATATATATATATATATATATATATATATATATATATATATATATATATATATATATATATATATATATATATATATATATATATATATATATATATATATATATATATATATATATATATATATATATATATACTGGATTTGATTTTAAATATACATAAAAGATGATTCAAAAAAGTTTATTCAAATTTTTGACTAAATATATCAATTTTTAAAGATTTTTCTTTTTAATAAATTTATGATCATTATTATATATATATATATATATATATATATATATATATATATATATATATATATATATATATATATATATATATATATATATATATATATATATATATATATATATATATATATATATATATATATATATATATATATATATATATATATATATATATATATATATATATATTCTTCACACATTCATTATTTTGTTTTTAAAAGAGTTGTAATTTATTTGATACAATGCATTTATATATATGTTTGTTTTGTGTATTGTTCAATGAATAAACTTTCATAAAAAATATTAATTTAATAGAAAGTAATTTTAATTTTGCTCTCTCTATTACATAGCTAATATCTCTTCGATTAAATACAATCAATTTTAATTTTCTCATATCTTTACAATAAAATTTGATGACTTGTTTACTTTTTAACAATATTTTTCTGAACTCAGGCGAGACCTGTATTTCAACTGGGCTTCAACTCAACACTATGCCAATGAGATCCAACAAGACCCTACCCTCCTCTATCGGGCACGTACCTCAACAAGGCACCTTAGTCGCAGAGCATTATCTTGTACGGGGAGGGCCCACGCGCTTTCTCCACGTGTCCCCCACACGGGGACACATCATTAGACAACTATCCACTTTCGAAAGAGCTGGTCAGCCCACCTTCCGAAGATCAAGGGGCAGTTGATCCAGTGCGAGGACCACGTGTTGGTCTTCCCTACGCCACGTAAGCCCTGCCAGATACTTGTGTTGGGCTTGGCAATTCGGCCCAATGCAACGTAACTGTTGGCCCTGCGCTAGGAGCATATTATAAATACCCTATTTCACTAGAGGATCAGGTATCTTATTCTCTACCTCTATTCTCTCTATACTTTCTCTTTCTAAACTCTGTTACTCATTTAATCATCGAAGTACCTTGCAGGTACACCCTTCCTCCTCTACAACACCGGTGAACGCACCAGCTCACGACGCGTAGCAGGCCACGGATTCCATTCTGATCAAGTGAGATCAATGGCGTCGTTTGTAGGAACCATTTGCTTCCCTATTTTTTGTCCTATCCAAGCGTAGAAGCTCAAGAACCAAAGCAACTTTCAACTTCCATTCCGATCATGGTCAGCCCACGCGACGATAATGCTCCGGAAACCGCCTTCGTCCCCTGTGTCAACGGGGACGACCACGACCCCAACGTGACCGTCCGCAACGACGAGGGCGACTACATTGACGTAAGCATTGTCTCTCACTCCTCGGAGGACGCAACCTTCAATGTCGCACAGCGCCTCGACAGCCCGACTGTCTACGAACCAATCTCGGCGCCAGCAAGAGCCGACCCTACCATGGTGGCTCTGTTCGCGATGATCAACTAGACCAACCCGATGATCTTCCAACAGAACGAGCAAATTAGGGATGCTCGAGAGGAAGTAATCATCATGCTCTCCCCTGCAGAGACACCGTCGCCCAATTTCCAACAACCTCTCTCCTCCTCCGCGGATGACAGAACACGTCGACGACTCTCAGAGCCCTTCTCCCCAACCAACTGGGTGTCGCCCTCGCTTGGAGCGACCACAACTGATGGCTTCCCTGAAGCGCGACCAGTCACCTCCCCGGAAGGAACGACGCTCCCTAGCTCAAAAAAAGAGCAAAGTCGAAGAAGGCGTTACCAAACCACGAGCTCGACCGAGCAGTCCTCCCCGACAGAACAAGAATAACCAGGGATCGGTCTCCCCCTCACCGTCACCTATCAGGAGTGACGAAGAAGTCTAGTGCTCACCACTGTGTAGGGCCATCAGAGAGGCCCCACTACCCATCGGGATGGAGAATCCCTCACCTTTGGCGACATACGATGGCACGATCGACCTAGACGACCACATAGAAAGCATCGACGTGATGCTCGATTATCATAACGTGTGGGGAGCCATCAAGTGCAGGCTTCCCCCTGTAATGCCCCGATTCTAAATTTCCTTTATTTTGAGTCCTTTTTGATTTAATTGATTGAATTATTATTTTAAATGTGGGATTGTGTGTTTAATATGTTATTTGTGCATATTGTGCTATTTTTGCCTACTTTGAGTGTTTCGGGTAAAAATAGACCGGAGGATATTTTGGGCATTAGTAATTATGTTAAGTGGATATTTTATGAGAATTGATTAATTAGTGTGTGGAAAGAATTTGAGAGGAAAGAAAAGAGGATATGAGTATATGAGAGAAAAAGAGAAAATTGGTAAGGGAGGGAGAAAAACAAAGGAAAGAAAGGAAGAGAAGAGAAAGAGGAGAGAAAGAAGAGGAAAAACCTAGAACTTCAAGAAATCATTACCAAAGCTTTCGATTGATCGGGTAAGGGTGTGAAACTTTATTATTCTATCAATGTGTATAATCATGTATGATTTTGTTGGATTGTTTTGGATCGTTGGTAGTTTTTCTACACTTTCCATTTTAGGTTGAATTTGGTTTAATCGATAGAAATCGTTGTCTAACGGTTAGAATCGTGATTAGATGACGTAGATTAGTCGATATATGTTAGACTAAGGCTACTGGATATGAGTTGGATTTCATCGGGTGATTTTATCGGCGATTTTGGATTCTGAACAGTGGGGAGCAGTGGAATCGCAGACGCTCGCTAGCAGTTCGCTAGGCGAGCTGGTCGCGAGTGGTCGCTGGTAGTTCGCTAGGCGAGTGCGCAGCGAACGGTCCCAGACTTGGGATAGAATGGTTTTAATGTCCCTCGCTGGCAGCGAAGGGAGTAGCGAGGAGCTCGCTAGAAGTTCGTTGTGGCGAACGGGGTAGCGAACGAGGTCTGTAGTTTCTGTTCTTGCTCGCTAGCAGTTCGATAGGCGATGAGGTAGCGAACGCTCGCTAGGCGAGCGTGTAGCGAACGTAGCAGGATGGATTTTCCCTGTTGTGTGGTGCTGTCGTGGCTTGGGGTTTCGGTTGCGATCGACCCTTCTTTGATTTAGTAGCTTATATGCTGGTTTGTGATGTGCTGTGGGTAGCCGTATGGCGTGAATCTTAGATTATGAATTGTGGTCGTTTGGGCAATTATGTGCATTGTTTAGCCTGATTAAAAATCTATGATGTTTGTATGAATGTGTAGAATGCATGAGTATGTTTGTAAACATGTGTGCATTTCAAGAGTGTCATGAGTCATGTTGCATGTGAAGCATCATGGTATGCATTCTTGTGTCGATTGATTCCTCGGTGAATCTGCAGAACCTCGTGTGCCCTTGTGGGGTGTGAGCGATGGTTAATTATTGATTCCTCGGTGAATCTGCAGAACCTCGTGTGCCCTTGTGGGGTGTGAGCGATGGTTAATTATTGATCCCTCGGTGGATTTGCAGAACCTCGTATGTTACGATGGTTATTTTGATTCCGCGTAGAATCTGCAGAACCTCGTGTGCCCATGTGGGGTGTGAGCGATGGTTATTTGGTTCTTCAATTGAACCTGCTGAAATGAGTCGGTACCGCATTTGCATCTGCATAGAGTCGTGTGTCGGTCTCTATGAGTTGCATGTTGACATCCTGCATGGTGTATGGTGAATGAACATAATTGTAAATGTTTATATGAATTGTTGATGATTGGCATGATTGGTATGCTTGAAGACATATGTATGTGTGAATATATGAATATGTATGTTTTGTGTGCTTATGAACCGATATAAACATTGTTGACGCATATTGTATATGCATGATGTTCTATTTGTAAATAGATAATGTGAATACATTGCGATGTACGGTATGACGAGGTGAGTTGCGGTGAGAATGCGAAAGACGTATATTGGGTATTATGTATATTTATATGTTTTTATGCATTGTTATTATGATATCGTTTCTCACCCTTCTGTTGTTTCTTTTAATGCTCTATGAGGCATTGCAGACTAGATTGCTGGAGGTATTTTGTGAAGCGTGGCTTCTTCCCTTTTTGGTCGGTCGGCTCTGATATGTAGCACCGGGTAGATAGGATTTATTTTGATTCTTTTGTGGTACATCTGAGTATGTATCTGCTGTTGATATGTTTTATAAAACATGATGAATGATAACCGTATATGTGAATACATGTTTGGTGAATTATGAAATATTTGGATATTTCCGCCTTTGTTCTAAATATTTCTTGTGGGTGTTATCCCGTTGTTGCATATCTGTTGAGCAGGTGTTGTATGTGTTGGAATTTTATGATAATGTGATATTTCCCTTTTATGCCATGTTGCAAATGTACTCTGATGAAATTTTAAATTTATGCCTAAGTGATTAATTGTATTATTTGGGGGCTTAGAGAGGGGGGTGTTACATTAAGTGGTATCACAGCCAGTGTTGAGTCAG